GGCCCATTAACTTGATTTTTAAGGCATGGCTAGGGTTTCTCCACTTGAACAAGTATCTGTAAGGAGATTGAGTTCATGTGCCTTGTTCCTGGCCTATAGTTTATTTCCCATTCATGGGTGGTGCTGCCTGGATTGTCATTCCTGGGATAGCTGTCAAGTGGTGATTTTCTCACTCTGCCATTCCTTTTACATTTATTACTATTGCCTAAGAAGGAGTTTCTTCTTTATCTCAGTATGAACTCATAGAGTCTTTTGTTTTTTCCCCAATGAGTTACAATCTATTACTGGTATTGATTCAGATCAGTAAATTTTTGATCTTTTGCTTATGTGGAATGTAGGTTTTCCTAATTTTTTTTTAAGGACAGGTCTACCAGGTATTGTGTTCTTGGTTGACAGGTTTTTCTTTTAGTTCTTTGAATATATCATCCCATTTCTTTCCTACCTGCAAGCTTTCTGCTTAGAAAATTGTATGTGACAAGTTAGCTGCTTTAAAAATTCTTATGCTTTGACTTTTGACAAGTTGATTTCCTATGTATTTCAGTGTGAATTTTTTGGATTCAGCCTACTTTGAGTTTACCGGACTTCTTGAATCTGCATGTCCATTTCCTTTTCCTAGATTTTGGAAATTTGTACCAGTATTTCTTTAAACAAATACTTTGCCCTTTTTTCTCTTGCTCTTTTTCCCCATAAGCCTCAGACTTTCTTCACTCTTCATTCTTTTTTTCTTTTGAGCCTCTGATTGGATAATTTCAAACCATCTGTCTTCAAATTGTATTTTTCCTCTGCTTAAGTGTGATACCTTATTCTTTTCAAGTTTTTCAGTAGTTATCCTATTTTTCAGCACCCAAAGTTTAGTTTTCCCCTTTTTTGTTCGTCTCATTTTCTTCATACTTCATTTTCTTGAGCTGATAAAGTGTTTTTGATGATTATTTTGAATTGTCAGATAGCTCATATGACTCAATTTCATGATGATAATTTTTGGAGTTCTATTCCATTTACTATTTGGGCCTTGTCTCCTGCTTCTTCATGGTTTTGTGGTGGGGTCCACACATTTGAAAATACAGTCACATCTCCCAGTTTGAAGTACATATTTCAAATGGGAGAATACCCACAAAAAAGAGGCACAGGATCTATCTTCACAGGACCTGTGTGTGCACTTTCTCACCAATGCACATTGCTGGTGTTTCAGTGCCTTTTTTGGTGCCTATTTGCAGCACCAGCAGTTCGCTGGAACTTCAGCAGCAAACTCATCTGTGTTTTTTTTTTTTTTTTTTTAACTCAGTGGCTACCAGGCAACCAAATATGCTGACTCTTAGCAGCCCACATCAAGGGAGACAGATATTCTTTTGAGCAACAGTGTGAAGAACCAGCACACCGGAAGCACAATCTACTCTTCTGAGGGGGAGCCTCAAATTATGTGTCCGTTCCCAAACATGTTTAGTCATGCTGCAGGATGCCATACCTGTCTGTCCTTTGGTCTCAGTGGTGTTCAGGCCAAATGAGACTAATTCTCTGTGTCCTAACTAAAGCACAACCAAAACCAATCCCTTAGGTAGCCCTCCAAAGAGTTGAAACGCTGATGCTTGCTCCAATTTCCTGTCACCCTCCCAAAGGGTGTCAGAAACTGGAGTATTTTTGCCTCCCCGAAAGAGAGGGACCAACATGGGTACAGTGAAATTGCTCTTCTTAGCAATTTAATGCAGCTCTAAACCATTGCGCTCCCCTTAGCTGAATTCCAGAACCCACCAGTGTTTTGGTTCACATATCTTTGTTAAAGTGGTGTTTCTGTGCTGATACAATTTCAGTTACAATGAATTTACTATTCTGCCAGATTGCTGATGTCATATTCTCTTCTCCATACTTTTTTTAAAAAAGATTTAAATTTTATTTGTACATACAGAACTGGGGTACAGGCCAGAGGCTCAGGGGCGGTGAGAGGATTCACCAGAGACAGAGTGGGGAGCAGAACAGGCAGATCGACGAAGTACACTGCTGAGGGGAGCAGCGGGAGGGTCAGGAGAGGTCTGCTGTGCCATGTGGATCACCTCCTGGTGGGTCAGCTCCAGGGCGGAGCTGGAGCCACAGCTTGGCTTAGCTTCGCGGTACAGTGCTCCAGCTTGCACTGGCAACCAGGGAGGGCCCAGTACTATATGTTCTTCATCATTTCTCTTTATTCTTTTCCCAAATCTTTTCAGTTAGTATTTCATAAAAACAAAGAGATTATCCAAATTAGGAAATTACATTGATGTTATGCTATTTACTGACCTATTGTCAAATTTAGTTGTTACAATTAATCATATTTATAGAAGGAAAATCTTGGATCATGTTTTATGTTCAGTTGTCATATGTCTTCAGTTTCTTTTAATCTGGAAGTTTATCTTTTCACTTATATGATGGATAGCTTCTCTATAGATAATTGTTTGGAGCTGTTTGATGTTCCCTAGTGATTGGATTTAGTTATACTTTTTGACAAGATAATGAGTAATTGCATTTTATTCAGTGCATCCTGTCAGAAGCCACTTGATGTCATTTTGTCATGTTAATTATGTCATTAACTTGATTTTTTTTTTTT